TTAATGTTAATGAATTGTTTTTGCCGAAAAAAGTTTTGTTAAGGACTTTATTTCAAAAATAGTAAGTAAAAAAAATTTTCTTAGCAAAAATATTGCATTAAATATTTAGTGAAGAATTGTAATAAAAAAAATATACTTAGGAGGACTTGCAATACGTAAAAACGAGAATATATTTATGGAGAAGACTATCGCTTTTACACAGTATTAGCAACCCCCCTCCCTTTCGCGGCTTCTCGCTAAATGGAACACCGTAGTGTGCTGACCATGTAATGTGACAAGTTTTCAGTAAAAAATTTTACGTCTATTCCTGACACTTCTCAGAACAAAAATCTTCTTATTAAAAACATATTTGTTCTAAGCTCATGCAGTTTATTTTGTCAAATAATTAACTGTAAAAAGTGAAAAAAATATAATTATGTTGAAAAGTACCGTGCGTTCCTAAACCCATAAAATAATCGTTGGCCCTAACGGGCCGTTGATTTACAGTTTTTCCCGTATAATCTACAAAAAGGGTTTTTTTTTTTTTTTAAAGCTGTAAAGATTTAGAACTCACAAAAAATATATAATTAAAAAATTTTTTTCTCTTATCTCACAACTTTATTACCAGAGCAAAAAAGTCCTGGAGCTTAATCTCTACATTTTTTATCATCACAATGAATAAAAATACTCAATATTCTACCTATTTAAAAATCTAGAATAGGTATTTAAGAGATAAGTGTGAGGGTTATACTCAAAAACTGACATTTGTTTTTGGGGGGCCATTATCGAGTAGTAGAAAAGTCTCAATCCTGCCACAAATGGCACTTCTGTACAACTTTTTATTTTCATCTACTTATTGGACTAGGTTGCGGCAGTTATGTCATTTGGACCACATTCTTTTTAAATTATAATATAATTTATGATCGTAAGTGAAGATCACAAAAATATTCTGAATGTCCATACAAATCATGACGTTCCTCAACTTTTGTGAAAGATGTGTCAGGTATTTTTTTACACACTTCAAGATCATAGATCATACTCTAGCTGTCATATCATCATGCTACCATTCTAACATGCCTTACATGCCGGTGTGTGTGTTACTTTTTCTCAAAATTTGGGCGCGCACAGCACGCGAGTCCCTTCCGTGCGGTCGGGAATGTCCTACTTCCCTGCCTCGTGACGTAACTATGTTATTCCTTTAGAGCACAGTCACATTGATGTCGATAGCCGGAGTACTCGACTTCACGACACCGAACTTGAGGCTTCATGCAGTATACGTGATATACTGATTACGTACTTACGAGTTAAGTTACTCGGGTCTATTATAATAACACTTATTTAATTCTGTTGCAGGTAACTTAGATTTTACTTGCACGCCGCCTAGCGGATCCTACCGAGCTAAAGTGAAAAACTAGCGTATTTTTGCAAAACTTTGATGTTATTTATTGCTATTGTTATTAATTTTTTCAAGATGAAAACTATACTAAACCCATCTAGGAAGTGTCAAAAATCAGTATGCAAAATTTCAGCTAGATCGGTTGAGTAGTTTTCGCGGTTAGCGATTAAGTACAACGATTTTAGCGACTTTGCTTTATATATTAGTAAGATAAGATAAGATAAGGCACAAATGATTTAAAATGTATAAGGTTTCATCAGAAGAAATGAGTTTATTATTAAAGCTAGTTTTAAAAAATTTTTAAATCTTTCTCCAGAACAATAAAATGCCCTTTTCGTCGAAAATAAGACTTCTTACGTACGGTAATAAGTCTTTTGTGTTTTTACAACGAAAAAATGTTTTGACATTTAATAATTATATGAGTTGTTTTAAATACCTTGGACATGGAAACACGCAGTTTTAGTATAATAACCCACACATTCGTTATACTTTGATACGTTGAATAAATAATAAATGAAAATACAATTTAAGATAAGTGTAAACACAGGCAAAGATAATTAATGTAATTTTCCTAACCCCAAGGGCGTTTTTCGTGACATTTGTAGGTTTACTACGTTCTTGCATTGAATCAAAGAAAATTTATTTATCCTTATTCCGTTAAATATTTTCTTTTAATTGAAACAAATTNGAGTTTAAACTTTTTGTTACCTATAGTCAATCAGCTAACTGAATTATATGAAATGTTTTTTTGGATCGACTAAATTTGTTTTAATTACTAGAACATATTTAACTGAATGAGGGTAAAGAAATTTTCTTTGATTCCAAGAATTGGGTTGGGAAAAATAGTCTCCGTCACCCAAGCACCGTCCAACTAGGGCTACGGTCCCTCAGGCCGCAAAATAGCCCCAGCACATAACACATTGTGAAAGTTTCAAGTCTTCATATTGAATAGAACGGGAGTTATGGAATTTTGAAGAAATGGCCAAAAAAGTGATTTTTTACAATTTACTAAAAAAATACTGGACCGATCCGAGCTCAAAAAACTCATTCGATTCGTATTTTTATTGCGCACTTTTTATTTTGTTATACTCTATTTGTCTAATGCACGGTTTTCCCATAAAACGCAAAAAAGTGTCTCTGACGTTTTTTGCCGTTTTTTTAACCATCTTGCTCTATTAGGATCGGCGTTCAAACTTAATATGTTATTTGCATTGCTATTATCTGACAAAAAAAATTTTTAAGTTGGAGTACGTAATTTTATGTAACGGATTTGCTAACTTCACCCAACTACAGTGGCGATGTCGCTTCTACAACAAAAACTACTATAAAATTGGCGCGGAGGATAGAAGGTACACAGACATTAGTTTAAAAAAAAGCAAAGTCAAGATCCCTAAAAAAATCATTTTTTCTCCACATTTATTGCTACCATGAATGTATGCCACAACTAATGTAAACATTGTTTTTACCAAAAAAAAAAAAAAAAACAGTACCGCCAACTCACCATAAGGTCCGAAAATGCGGGCCACATCGGCGACGCAGAGCAAAATGCCGAGAATCGCCGTGGCGTAGGTGACATTGAGAACCTTCCTGAGCTGGGAGCGCCTGGCTGCGGCCGTCGACGCCTCGGGTATATGCAGCGGCATGTCCGACCTCGCCCGGTTCACGTACGCGATGTGATTTAATATCGAGTGAAGCGTAAAGTCCGCGCCCTGCGATCGGAATTCCATCAAGTTGGAGTTTTTGCCGGTAACCAGCAAACTATTATTGTGTCATATATATATATATATACTACACGCACACACATACATGCAGGCTGCTCTCTGTTTAACGTGTTTTTAGCGTAAAATCAAGGTAAATTTTGACCCCACTTTTAGTATCGATGCTAAAATTTTTCGGACCAAATTTCCCGTGGAATACAAAAACTTCACTCTAGTGCGATAAAAAAAAAATCTTGGATGCCCAAGCGATATTTTAAAAATATAATCACCGGATATCATATTCGACCATCCAAAGTGAAATTTTTTTAGCATTTCTTTGGAAATCTAATTTGTATTGTAAAATATTATTTCCTACCTCGGGCGTTTTTAAGAGGGCTGGTGTGCCCTCGGTAGGAAAAATAAGATTCGCCACATAAATGCCATTGCTCCGCAGGTCCCTCGAGCCGCAAAATAGCCCCGGAGACGACTGCACTTATCCGACGAAAACTACTATTACGATTTAAAAAAATTGACTTTCCAACCGTGTAAAACACTCTTTAACGCACAGAGATAAAAACGCGAAATCCCCTGTTGAGCCAGAAAACAACTTGGCGCCCGAGTCGCGTATAACGTTTTTCTTACCGAGGGCGTAAAATTGCAATTATATGGTAAAAAAAGTACTTTGGGCCTGGAGGGTGCAAAAAACTTTTCTGCCCATGGACCCAAAGTGATTACAAGGGCGCAAAGTGGCAGTTGCACTTTGGGCCTATGATAAGAAAAAAATAAATAAATAAAAAGGCTCACCGTGATCCCAGTTGCCGCTGTGGCGTCCTTGAGCAGACTGGTCTCGGGAGTGATGTCCTCCTGGTCGTCCGCGAGCCGGTCGCTCTTCCACGAGAGGTTCTTCTTCCTTGGGGTCTTGGGCTCCTCGTTGGTAGACCCGCCGTTCACCAGCGCCACCTTCTCGCTGCCGCAGTCGCCATCTTGCTGCTCGGAGTCGGACTCGGATTTTATCTCGGACAGGTGGGCCTCGCTGTCGTCGGGTCCGCCGGCCGGGACGCGGACGCCGGTGTCACTACTGCGCCGGCTCGCCGGTCCACGGATGCCAAGGTCCAAGCTCCGGCGATCGGTGCTGCGGCATGACACGTCCGAATTGCGCCTCGACTCGACCGCCCGGGGGGTTGGCGAGAGCACCCCGAGATCCGAGTTGCGCCTCGAGCCTGGGTGTTTTTGTTTTCTCGATTTTAGTGTGTGTAGCATTGGGTGAGCAGATTTCAATTTTTTATCGTTAGGGAGGTAGGAGTTGCAGTTTTTTAGAAAATTATGCACAACTACATTTATACGTTGAGTACACAAATTTCACTGTTTGCGCAAATGATCAAGATTTTCACTGACGAAATAGTTAAAAATTAGGATCGTTCGTTCGCATCCAATCGATATAAATTTTAATTCTTAATATTTATCAGTAATCCAACGAACGATTTTGATCCAATTGAAAATAATTGTACAACCCATACACATTATTTATTTTCAATAAAAAGTTTACTACCTAATATACATAGTAAAATATTAACTTGGTCGAAATAGCTTTATATATTAGTAAGATAAGATAAGATAAGGCACAAATGATTTAAAATGTATAAGGTTTCATCAGAAGAAATGAGTTTATTATTAAAGCTAGTTTTAAAAAATTTTTAAATCTTTCTCCAGAACAATAAAATGCCCTTTTCGTCGAAAATAAGACTTCTTACGTACGGTAATAAGTCTTTTGTGTNTGTGATGTAAGGAATAGGCATAATTCTAGAACCCTGAATTTATATAAGTAAATATATAAAAAAATGAATCGACAGCGCACAGGTAAATATTGAGAAATTTTTAAAGATCAAAAAGTATGTTACACCTTAGTGTCCTTATGTTCATGTATTTTGCCATACTTATGGAAATAAGTGAAATGAAAAACACCTACTTCAAAGAACTACCAAAAAAAAGTTTCCCGATTCTGGAGATTCATAACGAAACGTTTTTAGTAGAATTTGTCATGTAGGAATAACCCGTCAACATAATGAAATTTACTCGCTTTGTACTCTGTACAGTTACAATATGTATCGCAGATTGGAAGCCTAATTGGAGTCTCAAACTCAATTATAATAGACCGTGTACGTGAGCTCATGAATTTCAGCTTTGTTGTGATAGGTTGACTGCTGAGCAAGTGATTGATTAAATTGCTGGTATGGCTTTGAAAGCTAATCTTACGGGCATTGATTCGAAGCTTTGATGTGCTTGGGGATTTATTTCATGGATGCATATTTGAAAATCTTAGAAATATTTTCCCCTTTTTTATTTGTCATGCAAAAAAAAATTTATGAGAAAAAAAATCAACGGTTAACGCTAAATAATAGTTATTATCAAAAAGTACAAAAACTAGATCAAAATTAACCTTGAGTTTAAACTTTTTGTTACCTATTTTTGGATCGACTAAATTTGTTTTAATTACTAGAACATATTTAACTGAATGAGGGTAAAGAAATTTTCTTTGATTCCAAGAATTGGGTTGGGAAAAATAGTCTCCGTCACCCAAGCACCGTCCAACTAGGGCTACGGTCCCTCAGGCCGCAAAATAGCCCCAGCACATAACACATTGTGAAAGTTTCAAGTCTTCATATTGAATAGAACGGGAGTTATGGAATTTTGAAGAAATGGCCAAAAAAGTGATTTTTTACAATTTACTAAAAAAATACTGGACCGATCCGAGCTCAAAAAACTCATTCGATTCGTATTTTTATTGCGCACTTTTTATTTTGTTATACTCTATTTGTCTAATGCACGGTTTTCCCATAAAACGCAAAAAAGTGTCTCTGACGTTTTTTGCCGTTTTTTTAACCATCTTGCTCTATTAGGATCGGCGTTCAAACTTAATATGTTATTTGCATTGCTATTATCTGACAAAAAANTTTGAAAAAAAAAAAAAAATGTCACTTATAAACATCATATTTGATACAAAACATTACATTGAATACCTAAAACATATGTATAATATTTTTTTACGAATAAAACGAGCAAAAAGTTTCACGTTGGATTGATATTGTCGAAAAATAACCTGAACCCTTTTTTCTTCTGTGGTATCCAAAAGTTCGTACGCCGCCAACATCAACTTCCTCAATAAAAACTTCCAATAATTGAAAGACCGTTTTTTCCGAACGTTGTTGAAGAAAAAACTCATCCATTTTCGACTAAGGTTTCGCTAAAAACAAAAACCCAGCAACGAAGGCCGATAGTTTGTTGCGATAAAAATATCGTACCCACCAAAGGTCGTGCCGCGATTTATCCATCATAAATTACGAAAAAATCTTTTTATCACGGCCATACAGAGAATAAAAAAAAAAAAAAAAATAAAATAAAACTAATGTATTTACGCACACTTTTTGCCCCGTCGCGCCCATCGGCAAACACTCTCGAAAAATGATCAATTTATCCCCGGGATACATTAGGTATTTATCAAAGTTATTGGCGTTGGTTCGTTTTCCACAATTTTATCGTATCTCGTATTTTTTTTTGTTTTTTTTTTTGTTTTACATACATCAGCGTCTGTTCCCTCGTACATTTCGGGTCGGATTCATTATCGACGTTAAAAAAAAAGCAGTACTCTGGAGTTCAACCATTTGTCACATGTATGGAATTTCGGGTGACGCGTGCAAGCCTGGACTCGAATAATGACACGGGAAAATCGATACGTCTGTTATTTGATGACCACTGAAAATCAAACAAGTACAAAATACTTACTCTACTTTCGATCAATCAGTCAACGGATTAACTAACAATGATAACATATCAATGGATTTTTTTACAAAGGATTACACGTAACATCGTCACTTGTTTTTGAAAATACCTACTCAATATTTTTTTTGCAAATTTATGTGTTTATCGATCAATATTTTTTCAGAAAACCTCGATTTTTAAACTTATTCATGTGAAATTGTAATCATTGCGAATATAATATATTTACTTTACTCGTGTGTCTGACACAGATAACAACTTCTCGATGTAATTAAATACTGGATATTCGCTCCACGGTACAAAGGCACCTTATCTTACATCAATCGTAGTATATAAATTTAATTAATAAATGTATTGACAAAGTCTTTAAAAACGTGATATTTTTAGACGAATGTCATTTCCCATGGTACACGAAACTGTGCCACTACTTATATTCTCTGATATTGGTACAATTATGTTTCCGAGCATCATCTAATGATACGTTCCATCAGTTCCGAGAAATCTAAATATTCGTGACCTACTTGTACGACTGCCGAATAATTCAGGGTGAAAATATATGCTGTTTTTCCATTATAAATTTTACTGAATGGAAAACGGGACTTCTTTCACAAATATGTATATATATATATATAGGATCATTTCAAATATTCGTGGTGTTCATATATTCTACTGGTACATCAAATATAAAGATAGTAACGATCGCCGGTGAAAGGAACCTGAAAAGGACCCGCGACCCACTACGTGTGAGTGAAAGTTTTCAATCTAAAGCCAAAAAATATTACCCACCCATCATAAATTGGGAAAAAAATAATAATGATTTGTGTACGTGGCGTGTGTACTTCTAACAAATTTCAAATTGACTTTATTTAACCTTAGATATTTAAATATTTGAATAAAATAAGACCAACACTGATTTATAAATTGTATATTCTGTAAAAAAATATGTTTATCATCGTGTGTGATGTAAGGAATAGGCATAATTCTAGAACCCTGAACTTTGAGTTGATTAAATTTTTTTTTTTTTTTTTTTCCAATGACGTAATTTTTTAGGTAACAATTTAAGAAACAAAATATATTGTATTCGTTAAACACAGCAAGACGTTGCTTGAAAGTTGCCCCAAGTACCTACTCGCCGAACGGTGGTACCTTCATCCTCGTACGTTACTACTGAGAAATATAATATAAAATGGTCGAGAAATACAAAAACTCCGAAAAAAAATAGGAAAATTGGTGTTTTTAAATTATATTTTGCAAAAATATGGTAAAAAACGGGATACTAGCTAAAATGTAAATTGCACCATTAAAAAGAACAACCTCAAAAATGGTGGGAAAGATATTTTGCCTATTTTTTGTACGGACATGTTCACGTCCAAAAGACGAAAAAATACCGAAAATCGAAATTATTTTACTTTAACGCCGAAAAAAAGGGTGCAAAGATCCGAATTGCTCGTTTTTGGAACTTTTATTCACCATACATTTGGGTTACCAACAATGAAAAAAAAAAAATGTTCATCAAAGAGGTGTAGCTTGAAATAAAAAAATGGCACTTTTGGGTACCCTGAAAAGTGAAAAATGAAAGGAGAAGTCTACTCTATGTACTATGTGTGCACTCACCCACGGGACTGACGTCGAGTATCTTGGCGAGTGTGGACTGGTCGGGCTCGTGTCGGCGGGGCGTGCGGTTCCCGAAGTCGCTGTTCCTCCTGAGCTTGTTGGCGAACTGCGAGGACACGCGGCCCACCTGCTTGCCGTTGCAGTCCTGCCCAAAGTCAGAGCAGCGTCTCAGGTCGCGGCTGCTGCCGCTTGGCGACGTTGGCGACGGGCAATCGGAGTTGCGGCGCAGTATACCGGTCTCGGGGCTGCGGGAGCGATCGAAGACCGGCGAGCTCCTCGGGCTTGCGGCGTTGATTTCCGCACTGCGTTTTCCTGAGGGTTTTTTTCCCAAACGTGCGTAAGAGGATGCAATCGAAAAATCGGGGGAGGATGATATGGAGCACGTTTTTTTTATTTATTTTTTTATTTATTTATTTTTTTTTTATACCACCAGTTTGGAGAAGCTTGAGGACAGTACTTTTGTCATCGTGTCGGCGATTGGAATATCAAGAAAATTTAATTTTTTCCCCGTAACAGAAGCAAGAGGTGAGTGATGTTGCGATTGTTTAAATAATTTTTAACGCCTTTACCAAAAGCAACATTGTCTATGTATTGAAATCAATTTGAAATAGTATATTTGAATGAAATATTTTTAAAAAATCTTTCATTTCTCTCAGTGCTTGGAAAATATTGCATTTAAAATATTCCAAGTACTTGAAGTTAATATTTGGCATAGTTGTTGTTTTGTTTGAAATACGCTTTCATTTGGTTACAAATGATTTAATTGAAAAATTTTTTGTATACCGCTGTATGACTCTTTTTTACACTCAATTACGTTGTCAAAAACTTGATATTGATGAAAACTGTAATTAAATGAATGTTATTCACAAAACGAAGATTTTCATGGGCATCGAGAAGAAAGACCGGAAGTAACAAATTTTGAAGTTGACAGTATAGAGAGCGAGTGCATACTTATTCTTTTTTTTTTCTTTCCCAGCAAAGTTGATAAGAGCGTTTTTTTAGATTTGAAATGAAAAAAAAAAAAAAAAAAAAGGTGACTTCGACAGAATAAAACCGTAATTGCAGTTACGGTATTTTTCATAGGAAAAATAAATCCGTCCTCCATTAATTTTGCTTATTCCAAACAATTTCACGAATCAATATTGCTTAGGTTTATTTTGTGAAATTTTTAATAAGACACTTTCATGTGTCTAAAAAACAAAAAAAAAAAAAAAAAAAAACTATTAGCTCCTCGATCCTAACATGGGGTACCTCCAAGATATACATATGTATCGCCATTATTTATGTAATGGGTTATTAGTGCGCGCAACAAGATCGTTAGCCGAGGCTACTTGGTGTTTGGTTGCAGGCTGTACGTGTCATGTACGAAATTGCGAAAGTTCGGCCGGGCGTTTTCAAAGTTGGACGACAAGAGCCCGGGTAAGTACACGTAGGTGTATATGTATATGATTGCGAGCTATAAATAAACAGTGAAAGGAGAACTGACGAGCGACGGTTATCGCGTCGTGGACTTTTCGAGGGAGGAGTGGAGGGCCTGTGTGGATGAGGAATTTTTAAGGAGCCTGTGACTGATGGATGTATCAAAGGAGCGAGGGGAGAGAAAAAACTTTAGTTATATACAGGGGCTGTCGAGTTTTTCCTCCGAGAAAGTTTTCCCTCGATCTCTTATATGCGCGTTTGCCTTTTTTTTTTTTTTTTCTTTGGCCCTGCGATGCTGACGTACGTAAAGTATATATATTATACATGCGCATGAAAGTTATTTTTTTTTGTAACAAAATTACTAGGAGGTACTCTCAAGGATGTAAGAGCGTGTTTTTACGTCCAGACAGACTTTTTTGTGATACAATTTTTGCTGAAAATATAATTATTTATTTATGCTCAAAAAAGCTACTTCCTTGTAACATTGTATTGTTTTTTTTTAATTTTCCAGTTAGTATATATGCATTGCAATTTAAAAGAAAAAAACAATCTAGAAAAAAAAGAATCAAAGTATTTAAATACTTTACAATAAACTTCAACGGCTTGTAACAACAAATACACTTTACTCAGGAAAAAAAAAAAAAATTGTTCTTACTGCATCCCGGCAGTACAAAATTCGTGTTAGTTATCGCGAGAGGAACGAAAGATTAGGGTATTTTTTCTGTCCAACATGTAAGTATAGTTCTCGCAAGCTGTGTATACACACCCTCACGGGTTAATACACTTTAGTATAAAAAAAAAAAAAAAGCTATTGTTCTCCGAGGGGCATTTTTAATTCCGAAAAAGAGAATCGTAGGTAACAATACCCCCGAGAACACCTTTGTTTCTGGCTTTGTTTCACTATGTCCGACAATCATTGTTATTCGCGCTGCAACAGCTCGGCACTTTGTGTGCAATGCTTTTTTTTTCTCCTCGAGAGCTGCACAACATTGCATCATTAAATCCTCGCGGATGAAACAAAAGTTTCAAACTCAAGCATTCGTTATACTTTTCGCACGAAACGCGAGAGAATGTATATATACGCATTGTATGTGTACAAAAAAGGAAGAAAAAAAAAAAAAAAAATTTGACCAACTGCACGGCCCACCCCGATAAAGTTGGAAGCACGAACAATTGCGTTACGGAGCTGAAAGCTTTTCGAGCTCGAAATTTTATTCCAAGAGCCCGCGCGGATCGCGGGGAAAAAAAAACTTTCTTCCCCTCGGTGTAAACCCAATCGACGGAGCGATCGAAGTGGATCTCGTTATAAGTTGGTTTGTATATATACTTTCGCCGTGGCCGCGCTTTGGTGGAGGGAAATAAAGGGGGTGCCGTCGGCTACAGCGCTAAGGTGGGTCCGCGCGAATTTTGTCTCCGAACGAGCGGAAGCGCTCGCTGTGTTCATTGCCAGCCGGGAAGAGCTTTTGATTGGAATCCAACGAGCCAGCGGTAATCGCGTTACTTTCCGGAAACGAGCCGAAACAACAGCTGTCGCCATAACGCACACCCGTATGATGCTGGTTGGTAACGATGATTTCGAAGATACTAAATTTATTCTTTAGTATCATTGATGCTTTTTTTAAAGCTATTAACTGAAAGACCGACAGGGACTTTTACGTTTTATTTTNCATGAGGTGTTATAAAGACTAACGTATTATTTATATTTTGTATTAAACTTAATTTACTTAAGGAATCTCTCCGAAATAAAAAAAAGGCATGCTCTGAATCTTACATTAATAAATACTCACAACTTAATTATTCAGCATCGTGTTAACAATTCAACATAAAGTTCTACGATATAAGTCAAAAATAACAGGTTTGACACATGTGAAAATTGACCGTTAAAGAGTAAAAATTTGACTCTAAACTTGTGGCTCCTAAAGAAAAAAATCTACTCTCTAAAATGACTGGTTTTTATTTAATTTCTTTTATGGCGAAAATTTAAAAAAAAAATATATTCACGAAATCATCACTCTTACCTGGGTTATTTGGAAAAAGGCCAGCTGCATGAGACAAAACGCCGAAATGACGAACGGAAAGCCAATGTCCCACAAGATTGATCCCATCAGTTTCGGCATGATCTGGAAAATAGAGAGCCAAAAACACGCCAACGATGGCCATTAACTCAACGATACGTGCCGTGATCAATAAAAAAAAAAGTAATAATAAATAAAGTATCAACAACCTCCTTAATTCCGTATGGATCGACGAGGAAGCTGATACATCTCGAGGCACCCAGTAAGCACAGAAAAACATTTATCGACGACATCAGTGGTGGAATAGAAATGAGCGACCTGCGTTTGTAACGATCGAAGAAAAAGAAGCAAATTTGAGGTCGTGAAACAAAAGATTTATCACACCTATACTCTATATGTACATGAATTTTACCTCAGATTGATAAAGGAGAGGAACGTGTAGAAACTGAGGATGAAAAAGAAGAAGGCGAAGGCGTACACGTGCAGGGGGAAGAGCCAGCGTAGCTCCTGGCCGACGGACTCCCATGACGGCGTCGTGACTTGGTAGTTGTGCAGCAAAAAGCTCGACGAGGCCTCGAGCAGGCAGTTCGGCTTTGGTGTTGTATCGTTCAGGCCTTTATTTTTTTTACATTTTTTTTCGTTTTTATTTTGTACACGTATTTTTCAAGATGTACGAAATGTTTGAATAAATTTATAAATGCACCGCAAAATCCAAGTGTATCGTTCAAACTCAGCCTTAGTTACAAAATGCATCATATAATATTAATAAGAGCTATGAGTATAAATAAAATCGATCGATTCAACCATTACGTTTTTTTGTTATTAATATTTTTATGATTATTTTTTTTTTTTTAATTCATTTTTTAATTAGTTTCTTATATTACGTAATGTCAATAACGTGATCGACTTTTCGAATAAGTAAATTTTTTCTTCTCATTAAATAATCAGAGCTACATATTTATTAGACCCTCCAAAACTCAGCTGTAATTATTGCGTTATTTTTACGACTACGTAAAACCTCAAATGAACAGTGAATAAACTTTAATTGTATTCTATGAATCAAACTACATCAAATCGTACAGTTATAAATAATTAAAATAAATGTTGGGGGGCTATTGATTTGTGGTAGGAATTGTGCACTTTACAGCCTATTTGTGTTGATCGTTTTATTTTAGAAAAAAATACTTTAGCTCAGCAGAGCTTGTAAAATAATTAAGGACTATCAATTCGACAGTTTTCGCAATGCTAAGTAACAGTGTACTATGTTAAGCAATAAAAAAAAAAAAAAAAAAAAAAAAAAAAAAAAAAAAAAAAAAGAACCAACCTGTCGACTCGGCAGCCGGGGAGATGACCTCGTCCTCGCCGACGAACCTGACGCTGCACTCGGAGGCCCTCCTGGAGATCCTGGAGACGTCGCTGCCCCGCCTACTGGCGAGCGAGCTGCGCCGGCTGGGGCTCGAGACCGTGATGATGGGCAGGTTGGCGAGCGAGGGGGTCGGGGTCGGGGGTCTAACGTAGACCTCGGGCACCGTGGAGATGATGGGCTGCGCCGAGTCACCGGTCGAGGTCGGCGCGTCCGCCATGAGCCGCCGTTTCAGGCTGTCCTGATGGACCATCGTGGCTGGCTTGCTACGCTGCTGGGCTACGACGTACGAGACTTGGTGTTTGTCACAACAGGCGATTAGTCGCGAGGTTTTTTTTTTTTTTTTTTTTTTTTTTCTGAAAAGGTTTTTGAGGGTTTTAGGGCGCGCGTTGGCTGATGGTGGTGCGAGGTTTTTTTTGGGGGGGGGTGGATGGGGGGTTCCGAGTGGTACTCGATGACTGGCAGGGTGCTGAGATTTTGGAGGGCGGTTTCCTCGGAATTTTTCGAATAAAACTGGGTAATCGAGCTTTTACATCATACATACGCTTACGTACATACATATTATTACAGTGTATAAAGTTTGCCGATTTCAGGGAATTTTCTTTTACTTTTACGGGTGCAAAAAGGAAACAAATTGAAAAAAAATTGATTAAAATCTCCTTTTCAGAAGGAAAAATATTGATGCCCCCGTGAAGAAACGACTCGTCATTCCATGCCAATGATTTGGCTTTTTGAATCTTTTTTTTCTTTCTTTTTCCATACTGATACCTGAAATTGGCAAAAGTATACATACTCTTGAAACATACAGGAATATAATTAGACTTTGAGAACATTTTTTGAATACCCTTTTGCCGGTTAAAGGTCTTGAACATATTTGTACTTTTATTGAAAGAACATTTTTTGTGCGAAATGAAAAAAGTTTTTTGTTCTAGGACATGGTTCACGGGAAACTAAAGTTTCTGAGGAATACCCTAGAATAATCTTGGAATTTTTAGTGTCAATTTTTTGTAGATATCATGAGTTAAAAATCATCACAGTTTCCTGCGATGGTTATAATTTTTTTAATCAAGTGAACCTGATCTTGATTAATCTTTTTTCTTTTGGATATGATTTACTGAAAAGAAGTGCTATAGTACGAAAAACTGTAGAAAAATACTTTACGAAATTAACGCCATGCATGCGATCTTCGTTGTTTATAAACGTGATTTTAAAATCAAGTAGTACATTTTACGTTTCGTCAGACGCCGCGCGATGGAAAAGATACCTAAGGGTTATCACAACGATACAAAATAATGATGTAACCTTAGTTTAGTATCATTCGTTTTTTTAGTGGTAATGTTGGAATAATATTTTTGCACCGTTAAAACTTTTTCTGTCGAATTTTTATTTTCCAGAAATATAAATTTTATGCAACGTAGACGTTTATACTGGTACCACGATCAGTAGCACCAAAATGATTAAAAACCTTAAACCTAATAATAAAAAGGAAATGTTTTTGTAATTTCACTATGGATGAGATTATTTTAAACAAATTCACGAATTATTACAACGCCAAAAAAAAAAAACAATAAAAATTTTCATTGATGGAAATTTGATAGAAAAGTTGCAATGTTAAGAAAACGTTGATTTAACATCATTACTACGGACATCCACTACGTTTTTTTCGAAATCTCGTACCATTTTGTTACAACTTTCTTTTACAAGATCATAAGACCATTTCGACAACTTTCGATCAGAGCTCGAACGTAAAAATTTCACAATACTTTCAGGGATGCAAGAGCAAACTTGAAAATAGTTTTTTTTTTTCAAGTTGCTCGTGTTGCACTGCGAGGATTTATCTCGCGATTTTAAAAGTTTCGTGAACGAGCTACGAAACTACATATATATATATACACACAAACTCATCTTGAAACTTTAGTATGGCAAGTTTTAATAAGTTTGTATTAACTTTTTGATTGAAAATTTTGTAATCGCATTTCGTAGCTTCCGAGGATTCGAAGACTAAGTAAAAGTATAGTAAAAAGTTGTATAGCTTCATTGTTGTTCCATTCATTGTCTTTTCACATGTACTTTGTTTTCATCCAATTAAGGGCATAATTTTTCTTTCAATAAAAGTCGATTAGGTGGAATAAACATATGCACGTGAGTATAAGTGCGCTTGTGCGCGCCCATTAAATCTGCAGGGATTATGCGATGATTCTATTAAGAGGACAGTTCTACTCGGTGTATAGGGAGAGCAGAAGCTCATTCGAAATCTAATTTTCCAGTGAATTAAGCTCTTTGAGCGAGATAACGAAATTATATGATAAAAGTGTCATTTTCTGCGACTTTGATAACCACCCCTTATGAGTCCCTGGATATTATTGTAGTGCAAACTGTGTGCTCGTGTAGGTGATTTCATAATAAAAATTAAAAATTTTTATTTTTGACGGAAAGGTGACTCGAAACATTTATCGGGGTGAATGTGTTTGTTAGCTCTTGCAAAAAAAATGTTTTACGATCGTTTTACGATCAAGTGGGATTTGAACGAGCATAAATAACTTTTGTTTCTCGGATTCAAGTAGTTAAATGTACGAAATTCGTGCGAAAAAATAAAAGAGAAGGCTTGGGGTATTTTAAACCATTATTACATAATGTGCTGTATTATTATATGCAAACAGTCATTAAAATTGAAGGGTAAAACAAAGCTAAGAAAATTGTTAGATTTAGGGAAAAAACTCCGCTTTTGACGCAAGATAATCCACAGTAGAAAATAATTTTTGTAACCGTCGTTACATTTTTTTATGTACATCGTTTAAAGCATATTCTAGAGAAAATTAGTAGTGTAAAAAATATATGTAGTTTTTAAGATTTAGATTTGGACCAATATTCCATAACAAAATGTCGATTTATTCATTTACCCATCGTTGTATGAGAGAGTAACTGGAGTACATTTTTGAGAAACGCATACAAACAAACTTGTCATTCATCAGAGTAGAAAATCAATTCCACACGTCATAATTTCAAGTATATTAACCTTATTTGAGGATCAAAATATGTTTTACAGATCAAATGATCCTGCCTTCAAAAAACAGGCATTTCAGAGCAAAAAAAAAAAATTAATATTAAGAAAAATGATTCGACGACAGCCACAAAAGCATGTCACGCGCACTTCACTAAACCCTACACGTATGGACAATAAGCTGGAAAAAAAAAAAACAAACACCAACGTGCTGTCCTTTCCCGCAAACAACCGTCGAAACGTTATCTTTGGGCTACATTACACGTGAGTATAGTGGGCTGAGCTTTTCCGGGCAAACGCATCATTAATCTTGCAAACGATCTGCTGTGACGCGGAAAAACCAACGGTTCCGCTTGACTCGTTACTGGATGCGCGGCGCTACGAATCCCGACAGCGTAAAATGGAGCCACGATTCAGTGGAAGCATAAAAAAATGGACTCCCACTTCGCCTACGCAAATTTTTATGTATTATTTTTTTTACAAACAAGATTGTTTTATAATGATTTCACTGGCTGAATAGTAAACATTTATTTATCTAAGAACATTTTTTTGTCTTTTAGTAAATCAAATTTATTTAATATAGTATGAACATCGATGTCCAAATCATTTCAAATAAAAAAAATTATGTAAAATATTTTAGATATTTTAAATAAGGAATGTCGATCTATGATCAATGAACCAGAAAATCGATTTTTTACAACTTAAAATTGTCGTTTTTTGATCGACCCTTCATATTGTAACTATTTATTTCACGAGCTAGGAAATACCGGATGGTGACATGTTTTGTGAAAACATACAGTATAGTGACAAAAATATAAACTGTATTAAACAGGTTAAAAAATTTCATAATTTATGAAGCGAAGAAAATATTTAGTATGATGGATCAAGTAAATACTTTTTCGATTAAAATACTACTGAACCCAAGATTTCAGAAAATTCATAGTTCTTCTTTTTTTACTTTGATTTAAGGATACTGATATTCATTTTCGGTGCATTTCTTTAATTTGTTGCTACCTTTTAATCAAATGGAAATAATATATAAGTCCATATAATTTAATTGTACTACTAAGTTATATTCTTATAAAAATTCCAAATTCTTTTTTTCACGTTTGTAAGCATTTTTTTAAATACGTTATGTTATCGTGTTTAAAAAAATATTTCGACAAAGTTGTTTTTCGAACCGATTAACCGTGGAAATAGTTGTAAATTTTTATCCCTAATAACCTATACCTTTGAAATAAACGAATAAATTTTTCTATTACCATCAAAGTGATAATTTCTAGCATCGAAAAAGCAAAACATAAAATTCACTTTTCTCTTTAAAAAAAAAAAAAAAAAAAATTTTCACAAACGACTCTTCGCCTTGATTTCCCACTGACACCGTTAAAGAGTACATCCAATTGATACCCTGGACCGAGCCTGCACCCTTCGCAAGTATGACAGTTTCAGAAAACCGAGCGCACGAGCACGTACAACAATACAGAGAGAGAGAGAAGCTCAACAAGTTTCACCGGGACGAACAACGAACCGTGACTCTATCATTATGCACAAAACTCTCTCGAGCCGTGGGGATGGAAAACTTTTCCAGGGACGCGTCGGTCGCCGCCCAATCAGCCCACCCTTTCATTCATATTCCCCCAAAACCACGTATGTATACCCACTCCGAGCGAATAAACGAAGCAAACGCGTAAAAAAAAAAGTCACGAGTCAAAAGTTGTATGTATAATATACACACACGTACACACACGCTCTATATATATAAGCTCATGCACAAACATACATCGATACATAAAAGCAGAGAGCAGGTGTGTAAAAGCTCTCGACTTACTAGAGCTCAAGCTTGGATTGGTGTCAGGGTGCTGTTGGTTAGCGCCGGGTGCGTTGGCCGGCTGTCGTAGTCGTAGCTGGTGATTGGAATCGTCGAGGGATCGAAGCTTCGTAGCCGGGCCTAAGAGGGTGGGCACGAGCGCCGCGGCTACCGAGCTCGCCAGGCTCTTGTTGTAGGGCGCGAGGATCGCTAGCTGCATTATACCTGGGCAAACGCACACACAAGCGCGCGCAAACACACAACGCATAATGTAATAATGAAAATTGAGACACCTGATGATGATGACGCCGTCGCGGATCTTTCGTTCGTTATGGTCACCATCATCAGAGACGAGGTCGACGTGTAGTCGTCGGTCACGCTGTCAGATGGCGGCACGTGTCTTACTCGAGCCCACCGACCTTTCTGATTGGTGCTCGCCGAGTCTCGGGCCAACAGGCTCGAGGGAAGGTTGTGGAGGAGCAGCTTGACCTTGTGGCTGGCGTAGAGGAAGGTGGCGAAGAGCCCGAGCGCCCAGACGAGGAAGATTGACTCGACGACATAGCTGAGGACGTAGCTGAGGTGGAAGGCCCGGCTCGTGTCACTCATTATCACGCACGTCAAGTGGAATATGATCATCAGGCTCAAGTATGTCTTCTTCTGGTAGCGCTCCAGACCGAATTTTACCTGCGAACGGGGGACCATTTATACACCGTGCCCGCGGAAATGCGGTTATACTTAACAGCACCAAATGTTTAAAAAAACGTTCTTTAATCATTTGGTACCGTTGGGATTACGGATATTGTTGATGTAGGTATACCATCTTTTAGACGACAAGCGTTTAGAAAAAGTTTCTTTTTTTTCACATTATTGTGTTTTTAAAACGTTTTTCAACGTTTTTTTAACCGTTTGACGTCGTTAGGGTTACAACGGGTGCTGTTGATGCAGGCATCATCATAGACAAGATGCGTTGAAAAACGGTTAAAATCGTTTTTTCTTCTTTATATTATTACGTTTTCAAAACATTTTTTGGACTCTTTTGTTTTTTCTAGCAACTCCACCTAGGAGAAAAATTTTTTCCTCGATTTTTTCCAGCAAACTCGTGGGCTAACTTGAGCATAAGAATATCAGCTTTAAATAGTGTTGACTGGTGTTGATATGATTACTTTTTTTTTATCTTTCTCTCTTAATATGAGAAATCACGGAGAAAGTAATTGATTAGATTGTTTATAATAAAGCGAAAAATAATCCTTTTCTTCGAATAAACGTGAAATGGCGTTTTTTTACCATTCAATTGGAGGTAGAACTTTTATTTTAGAGATTCAAGGTAGCGAGGGTGTGCGGGTTTGTTTTATTACTTTCGGCAGTCCATAAAGGTTTTGTTGTACTGGCATCATAAAGGCGAGTACAAATCCGACGGACAACGTGTTCCAAATAAATTTTACGAAAAACCATACAATTCAATATTCTCAGATAATGAATATATTATATTTTCATATTTGAACAAAGAAAGGTAATATCTTATGATTTCGAAACATAAAAAAAGTATGAAAAGAGATGTTTTACTAAAAAA